CTATAGAGCTCCATATGTTAAAACATCTAGACATCGGAATAGTTTTTTCCCTTGTGCCATTTGTCTGTTAAATACTATATGATTTGATATGTATTGGACAGTGGCTTCTTCTTTTGGAAAAGTAATTTTACTGGGCAGTGTTATTGTTACTGTTTATTAATTTTCTGTTGTTATCCAAACACACTGTTGATCTTGCTGTTCATCACCAAAGACAAATTCCTTGTATATATTTTATTCTTGGTCATTAAAGTATTTTGTATTTGTATTGCATTGAAAGCAAGTAAAACCATCTTCTGTTCTCCAATGGCTGGGCTAGGAAAGTGCTAGCAACATTGATCCCCATTCTCTTTCTTACTGAATGTAGCCAGTAGATTGTCTAGGAAGAGAGAGGGAATCCATGTGTACCCCACATCCATACAACAATGGTAAGGGGAAAACATGTTCAAAGCATGTGTCTGGTTATTCTTTTGGAATGAATCATTAAAACACTATTTCAGCATTAGCAAGTGTGTGCCTTTAAAATCAAGAGTACAGATCAGAGTTGCACATAATCTTGCAGTATTCACTTCCATTAATCAAGCCAGATGAATAAATCTTAGCTTTCTTTCATGGAGTCATCAACCTAATTTCAAAAGACTTTTGTTAGGTTTCTTTGGTTCACACTTATGATAAGAGACAGTCCAGAAGTGATGGACTACATCTTCCATCAAACCCAGCCAGCACACATCTGATTAGGGAAGACTATTCTAAAATACGTCCTGTTGCATGAGTGGAGTTTAATATTCTTTAAGAAAGGACTAGATTTATTATAGATGTTATGAAATCCAAGCTATTCTAGATCAAGTATCCTCAGCATGTTTATTTAAGTCTCGAAAGATCAAACAACCCAGAGTTCTCACTCAGGCACAAATTACCAGGCTCAAATTATCCTACTTCGGACACATTATGTGAAGACCTAGCTCTCTGGAGAAGTCTTTAACGCTGGGGAAGGTGGAACAAAAGAGAAGAAGAGAACGACCAGCAGCATGGTGGATGGACTCAGTTACAGGGGCAATGAGTGCACTGTTGGAAGACCTAAAAAATCAAGTTGAGGATATCATCATGGAGAAAATCTATCTATGTGGTCACTAAGAATCAACACCAACTTGATTGCATATAACAAAAAAGACCAAAACTTCTTAACATCATCTCCTTCAGCCAAAACAAAGATACTATCAAGTTCCAAGATAACTAGTATATTAATAGAACATCAGATCTGTCTGGGGTTTACTATTGGACAGGAATTTTGACCTTGTGGATCATTGCCATTCCACCACCCCCACAATTCAAGCCATGTTTCCTGTTGCACAATATCCTGATGGACATATCAAACAGAAATGTACACCTCCTCTGCAAGGTCTCTGCTATGTATGCCAGGTCAACTTGTTCTTCTTAGATGTGGTCAAAAATTGTCAACATCTAGCCTTTACTAGCAGCACCTTCACCTTGTAATACTACCAATGTTACCAGGCTAAGAAATAGGCCAGAAGAGGAAATGGCCTCATTATTTTTTGCCTCACTTGACAACTGTACCTTCCACCATAGTCCCATCTTATTAAAATTGTGAGTACACAACCCAAGTATGCTTAATAGTATTGAAAAAAGTGAGTATGCATGAAAATGATGAAGAGCTAATAACATCATGTAGAAATTCCTACATGAATTCTCCTTTTCTCCATATATAGTATATAAAAAGGAAACTACCACAGAAAACAAACATATACCAAAAAGATGGAAAACATCTTCAAATAAAGGAATAGACAAAAGCTAATTTAAAGCAACAGAATAAAAAGCAGCATTGTAATCACAAAGAATAATTAACAGCATTACAGAGCCCAAACATAGGCAAAGTACATACCAAGTTAATGAATGTACAATTACTGAGTTATTTAAAAATAAGCATGTTTACCATGCCCTATTAGCTTATTTCTTGTGGTGCTTTATTGAAACTGAAGTCTAGAAGGAAAATCAGAGCAGACAGCTGCTCCTGAAAAACGGAACATGCAAAAGAATGACATTTATAACCAAAAAGTAGGTTGTCTAGGAAATTTCTAGAGAAAACAGTACACCATTGTGGTAACAAATATTTCACTTCTCCTGGATAAGGGACAGAGAAAGTGAGAATGAGCCATACTCCAAAAACCGAAAATAAAAGCTGTATAGGAAATAACAAACACAACTATAGCCTCCAATTTGCCAACAAGGCACTGCTAGCATTAATTATAGTTGTGTTATGTGATAAAACTAGCTCACAGCTTGTAAACCACAAGTAGTGACAGAATGTAATTTACACCAGACAAATGGCTGATCAGACCATTTCAAATCATTTAGACATTTGTTCCCTTGGCAAAATGCCTCCTGAAGCAGATGCTATTCTAAGAATATTGCAATCCTTATGCATCCTCATAAAAAAGGTGCTGAAATCCATGCCATTGTACTATTTAGTATTTCTTTTCTATATTTCCACGGTAGAAAAAAGGGAGGGAGGGAAGGAGGGGAAAAAAGGGGGAAAAAAAGGAAGGCAAGTTTCTTGCATTCATATTCCACTTTTCAATATGGAACATCTTATAAAACAACTTACAAAAATAAGGGGGTGGATATAAGCACATACTCATTGATTTATTTACATGTCTTGCCTTCAGGAACAGACTTTTCTCTTCTAAAACTCAAATTATACTGTACCTTGCAGACAGATTCCCCCTTACCTTGCTTTCAGAATTTCACTGACTTTTTGTTCCAGTTCTATTCTCCTCAAGCGTTCTTTTTCTAACTCTTGTTTCAGTGTTTCAGCATTGGTTTCTTCTCTCAGCTTTCTTAGCTCCTCCTCTGTTCAAAAGGGAAGAAAAATAATTCAGGCTTTGTTTTTTAATTATATACTTACTTACGAAGGCTTTTGTCCCACTCTGAGCAATCAGATACTAGGCAGCTTACAATTCTTCCACAGAGTAGTTAAAGTTTAAAAAATTAGTAATATATCTTAACAAAATAAACCACACAACAGGAATCCTCACCAGAACACCTTTGGATCTTCAACGTCCTCGCCTAAGTTCCTTTGGGAATGATATTTCCCAGTCTGCTCCATCCCAAGACTACACTGCTCTCCAAACTAACAGGAATAGGGTGATCCTTTACTTGAGTCACTGAATTAAAAATGAATCACAAAACATAACGCACACACACTGTACTCAAGAAAAGGACAAAGCTCTGGACTTCACAACTCTATTATTAGGCCTCTACCCCACTTCAGAACAGAGTGACAAAATATTGTTAGACACACAGATAGCATCACTTTGCATGCATTTGACAAAGCACCACATTGCTACATAATCTATATCATCTGTCCATTTTCTGCAACAAGTTCCAGTACATCAGGCTGCCTCCTTAGGCTACAAAGTGGGTAAAACTACACCCAGGTTGTCATTTTAACAGCAGGACCACTTCTTGGGTGATTCTCACCACCTTAAAGAAACCCATAGCTCAGGGTTAACTCACTTGTTTTGCTTCCAGAAGGATTCATCCCTGCACTCTTAAAGAAAAGAATGAATGAATGAATGAGTGAATGAATGAGTGAATGAATGAATGAATGAATGAATGAATGAATGAATGAATGGAGAAGTAGCAGGAAGTAGAAGGAGATCTACCTAATATTCTGGATGATTGTTGCCAATCACAGTAGTCAATACTGGATGAGATGTAGGAACATCTTGCCATTCATATGGAGACTGAGGCAGCTGCTGAAACTACACATCAGGCCGCTGGTCAGAGACACTACTATATAACCAATTATTAATAGTTGCTTCTTATTTTACAGCGGTGGGTAGAAAATACTGTGGTCTGTCTAGGAGTAGAGTGAAACAGGAAACTTGGAGTCCCACTGCTAGAAATATAGCTCTTACACCTCTACGGCCTGGTTTACACTGATGGCATTATACATAACATCAATAAGCCGATTCACCACATTCAGGTTTTAACTGCTGGCTGGATGTGTTAGAGTGACCCAAGGCAGATATCAAAGTAGCAATTGTGTTTGTGCCAAATGGCATCATCTATAGTTTTTTTAACCTGGGTTGCCAACCTTAAAACCTGGGAAAATGATATGTAATCATCCTGTAATATTTTGGTATTTATCAGATTTGTAAGGCCACCTGACCCTATAGCTATATGAATACTGTTCCACAGGATGGGTGCCGCAACAGAGAAGGCTCGCTTTGAGGACCCCATCAAATAATATTGTTTAATCAATGGGACCCGGAGTGTGCCACCTCTGTTGGATCATACAGGATGGGTGGATACTATGGGAACAGACGGTCCCTCAGATAGCCAGGCCTCGTGCAATATTACAAGAAAAACTTTGTATATCTCAGCGTCACAGATTAGTAACATCATTACAGCTTATATTCAATAGATACCTTCTGATTTCATAAGAAATGTCCAACACATTTTAAGCAATGGCTGATATCAGGTCAAGAAAAACTGACATAGTGCTAGCAATAAAGGGGACATCTGTAGGATAAGTTCCAGCATTATTAAGCACAGGTAGCGCTCTACTTACAACCACAATTGGGACCAGAACTTCCGTCGCTAAGTGATGTGGTTGTTAAGTGAGTCATGCCCAATTTTATGACCTTTTCCCATGGTCATTAAGTGAATCATGCTGTTGTTAAGAGAATCTGGCTTCCCCCATTGACTTTGCTTGTTGGAAGCTGGCTGAGAAGGTTGCAAATGGCAATCACGTGAACCCAGGATACTGCAACCATCGTAAATACACCCAATTTCCAAGCACCCAAATTTTGATTACGTGACCACAGAGATGATGCGATGGTTGTAAGTGTGAGGACTGGTTGTAAGCCACTATTTTCAGTGCTGTCGTAACTTTGAATGGTTCTTAAATGAATGGTTGTAAGTTGAGGACTACCTGTGTACACTGGAATGGAATGGAATGGAATGGAATGGAATGGAATGGAATGGAATGGAATG